CATATTTATTTAACAACTTGGGTATAATTGCTGCTCAAAATAGGATTGTTCTGTCAGCTATAGGCAAACTCCATTTAATTATCTAATCTAATATATTACTAAATTAGTTGACAATTATTTTAACAATCACAATTTATCAGATTAATTGTTTTTAGCCCGAGTGTTAATTTCATTATTACCGTGTATTTACCTCCATTCACCCTATAATCCACTCTGAGCAGATTCTCTGTCCCTGCTGAAGAAAATCCATCCCACAGCATGCTCCAGCCACTACTTTTCACTGAGGAATTCAGCGTAGGTTTGCTGTGTGTCTAAGCTGCTGCTCTAGATTTATCCTGAGATCCCGGCTGCTCCTCTGATTAATGCTCTCCTTGGCCAGCCTGTCAGTTTATGTGGATGTTCACGTCTTGTTTGTACTTCATCCTTTTTCCACTTTCAGAGGATGGATTGGACAGAGCTCTGTGAGATTTCACCGGCTCGGGATGTTGTTTTACAACTTCACTTCGCTACAGCTTTCTCTCTGCTCTGTTTCCTGTGTGCCTCGGCCTTATTAATCCTTCTTTGTTCTACTGTTGTCTAACAAACCTTCAAGGCCTTCATAAAACAGCTGATTTTATACTAAGAATAAATTACAGATGGTGTCAAAATGTGTGAAATTACAGCAATTAAGGGGTGTGAATAGTTTAAGAAGTCAGGGTGTGAACCTTGGTCACTACAGTGCAAATGATCTGCCTCTTGTTTTAGTTGTGAACCTTTTAAAACAGCAGAACAATGATGCAATCAAACTACAGCATGACCGGCTGCTTTATTTTCATGAAAATGGAATAACTTTACCAAGAACAGCTGCAGGAGAATTTCACTCATTAACTTGATTTATATATTTAACAACATCCGCCTCATAGTTGTTCAATCAAACTTATTGTGGTTTTCTTGGTCTAAAATTAGTGTAGAACAACTATGTAATGTTACTATGTGTGCGTTAGATCGAGGTAATTTATATCTAATGTGTTTATGAAAGTCACTCCTTCAGTTCATGATAAGATCTAACCACCTACATGTTTGACTCCTTTGTTGCTTGAATGACACTAATGCATTAATTTCATTGTGAAACTACAACAGAATGTGAATTACACCTTCATTACCTCCCATCTTATTTTGATTTATTTATTTTTTCATAAAAGCTTTATTAATAGGTTTCTATATTCGTAAATCAGTTCAAGCCTTTAGCATTTACCAGAGATTTATCTGAAGTGCCATCCAATTTTATTGAAACCTTTGTTTTAAAAGACAATAAAGCATTATGTATTCGTGACACAGGTGTGACAGTAAAAGTGAGGACGGAGCTGTCTGGTTACTTTACATCCCGCAGTAAACATCTTTCTGATAAATTACCTCGGCCCCGGAGGCGCCTGGAATAAACTTGTCGGTGTTTGTTCAGTCTGCACCTGTGGACTCGCCGTCTCCTCCAGATACGTTGCCACTTCTCTGGAGTGTGGCAAATGGGGTTTAAAAAGCTCTATTGATGTACTTACACATGAGTGGGAAAATGGGAATTGATGTTTTAAATGACTTCTCATCCTGCCTTTACCTCAGACCTGTATTTCCTGTTGCCACGGTTACTATCAGATTTCATTATTAGTGAATCCTGGTCGGCTGCACAAACCCTGGCAAGCACAGGCGGACTGGGTTTAGAGTTAGGTCTGTTACATGATGAGCATGTCACACACCTCTGACTCTCTTTCATTGCAGCACAGAATCGGAGATTAATGTCAGATTTGAAGGCAAACTAGAAAAGCTTTTTGGTGACGCTGGAAAAAGATTTAATTAACTTTTTGATAACCATTTGTATCATGAACATCATTTCTTTTATCTGTAGACTCGCTTTGATCTCCAGTATCTCCACACATCTATCCTCATAGATTAGCTTGCACTACAGTATAAACATTCAGAAACTAAACAAGCATCAGAAAGCATGTATGTTATTTTAGGGGCAATTATTTAAAGTGTTCTTTGACTCCATTGAGGTTTCTTATCTAATTCAAGGGTTTATTATGTGCTTGCTGTTGTTTATGTAAGTTTTTAGATTTACTTAAATGTTAAGTTTAAAAAGGAATATACACATAAAAAAATGCTTGATTTTCAATAGAAATAATGACTTACATACAGTTAAAAGAAGATATACACCAATCCATCATCTTCCAATACCAAATAGGGCTGAAATAATAAATTGGAAGAATCGATTATTAAAAAAAACTGTTAACTACTTTAGTAATCGATTAATTGTTAGGCACCAGCACCCCTCGCGACCCTGCTTGGGATAAGCATTACAGAAAATGGATTAAACTTTAACTGGAGTGTCGAGACTAAAATAAGCCTTTAGCTGACAGCGACCCACCTTGAGCAGCAATTATACCAAAATTGCATAAAATATGTGAATATTTTGCATTTAAGATTAAAATCTTTTCGTCTGTCAGTATGCACTATCCAGAACTCCTCATGGGGAAAAGTTTTTTTCACCTGGTTTAATTTTGCAAAAAGCCTTTTTATAACCAATTATTAATTGATTAATTAAAAAAATAATCAACGGATTAAATGATTTGCAAAATAATTGTTAGTTACAGCCCTCATACCAATGAATGACTGAAGCACATACCTTACCATGTGAGTGAAAGCATTAGGCATTACAGAAACATTGTTTACAGATGCCGTTTATTGATAAAATGTAGATTAGCATTAAAAGGAAATACTACTTCTATGTTGCAGTGCAAACACTTTTTTCAGGATGCAGTATGAAGTATAGCAGCTGCCTGTAGATCACTGTAAAGTGGTTATTATTGAGGTAATGGTAGATTGACCTAATTCATCCGACATCTTATCCAGCTAATTAGTCAATAACAAAGCCGATATTTGATTCGGGTATTGGATTGGTGCATCTCAACTTATAAGAAATAGGTATATGGATTATCATATAAACAAATATCAAGAATCAGTTCTTTTCAGATCAGTCTCCAATTTAGTCTGATTTCAAATTGGATTTCAGCTATTAAAAACATTTTTAGCTGAATTACAAGACTGTGTAATTATGCAACCTATTGATACTATTGTTATATTAACATTAAGAAGCCAACCAGTAAAGTAATTGTCATTAATGACAGCTAAGGACAGCGGAGGCCTGTATGTATAACTGTTTTTAGAGCTACTGATCTAAACACATCTTTCATGATCTGTACTAGAATGCACGTATATATATATATATATATATATATATATATATATATATATATATATATATATATATATATATATATATATATATATATACACTATATTGCCAAAAGTATTTGCTCACCCATCCAAATTATTGGAATCAGGTGTTCCAATCACTTCCATGGCCACAGGTGTATAAATTCAAGCACCTAGGCATGCAGACTGTTTTTACAAACATTTGTGAAAGAATGGGTCGCTCTCAGGAGCTCAGTGAATTCCAGCGTGGAACTGTGATAGGATGCCACCTGTGCAACAAATCCAGTCGTGAAATTTCCTCGCTCCTAAATATTCCACAGTCAACTGTCAGCTGTATTATAAGAAAATGGAAGTGTTTGGGAACGACAGCAACTCAGCCACGAAGTGGTAGGCCACGTAAACTGACGGAGCGGGGTCAGCGGATGCTGAAGCGCATAGTGCGAAGAGGTCGCCAACTTTCTGCAGAGTCAATCACTACAGACCTCCAAACTTCATGTGGCCTTCAGATTAGCTCAAGAACAGTGCGCAGAGAGCTTCATGGAATGGGTTTCATGGTCGAGCAGCTGCATCCAAGCCATACATCACCAAGTGCAATGCAAAGCGTCGGATGCGGTGGTGTAAAGCACGCCGCCACTGGACTCTAGAGCAGTGGAGACGCGTTCTCTGGAGTGACGAATCGCGCTTCTCCATCTGGCAATCTGATGGACGGGTCTGGGTTTGGCGGTTGCCAGGAGAACGGTACTTGTCTGACTGCATTGTGCCAAGTGTAAAGTTTGGTGGAGGGGGGATTATGGTGTGAGGTTGTTTTTCAGGAGCTGGGCTTGGCCCCTTAGTTCCAGTGAAAGGAACTCTGAATGCTTCAGCATACCAAGACATTTTGGACAATTCCATGCTCCCAACTTTGTGGGAACAGTTTGGAGCTGGCCCCTTCCTCTTCCAACATGACTGTGCACCAGTGCACAAAGCAAGGTCCATAAAGACATGGATGACAGAGTCTGGTGTGGATGAACTTGACTGGCCTGCACAGAGTCCTGACCTCAACCCGATAGAACACCTTTGGGATGAATTAGAGCGGAGACTGAGAGCCAGGCCTTCTCGTCCAACATCAGTGTGCGACCTCACAAATGCGCTTCTGGAAGAATGGTCAAAAATTCCCATAAACACACTCCTAAACCTTGTGGACAGCCTTCCCAGAAGAGTTGAAGCTGTTCTAGCTGCAAAGGGTGGACCGACGTCATATTGAACCCTATGGATTAGGAACGGGATGTCACTTAAGCTCATATGTGAGTCAAGGCAGGTGAGCAAATACTTTTGGCAATATAGTGTATATATGTGACCAACTTTTCTGTCTCTGCTGAGGAAAAGCATTGTGGGTGACATGCAGCAGCATTTGCATGCTAAATTCTATTGTATTTCTGTGGAGAGTACCAATTTTTCTTTGCATTTGTCTGCTTGAATATCCCCAGAGTTCATTTTTGTAAGATATAGATGAACTAAAGTTCATCTTTAATTTGATTTTTTTCAATGTTAGCTCGAGCATCAAGATCAATATAGATGCTATAATGGATATAAGAGTGGAGGTTTCACATTAACTGACCAGGGAATCTTCTTCAGTTTCACTCTATGTACCGATTAGGGAGTTCAGAAACTTCAAAAGCACTGAAAAGTGTTGCTGAAAAAATGTGAAAAAATAAGGTTTATCAAGACCTTATGGATTGAATAATTTTCTCTTTTTGTGATTTCCTGTCTTTGCTCAGATGCAGCAGATGGTGAACTCAGATTCTCGATTTACCAGCAGCCAGCAGCCAATCAAAGCAGCACTTGGACCAAGGAGCCAATCAGGCTTGAGCCAACAGAACCAGCTGTCCACTATCAACCAATCTCAGCTGGGGCTAAATGGGAACCCTGCTACCCATAATTCCCCTTCACCTCCTGGAAGTAAATCCACCACGCCGTCCCCTCCCAGCTCAGCCCATGAGGATGACAACGATGATGGAGTCAGGGTAAAAACATAAACAAAAAACACAAAACACATTCACTCCTTACAAACTGAGAAACAGACTCAGAGGCTGCTGTCTGTGACTCATTTCACAATATTTCAGTAAGCTGCGAACAGTGAGACATGTAACCACCATACTTATTATGCTGTATGTGTGTGTGTAGGCAGAGGGGACTTATGATGTTATGTGTCATAACAGACCCATTCTCTCTGCATATCAACGAGATAGAAATCAGCTCCCTTACTGTTCGCTGTGTCACATGGAAACAAGCTTTCTGCACCCAACTGACTCTTCATATTCTTGGAAAATGAAACCATTACTGCTCAAGAATATCTTGCAATTTTCTCAGGAGCAGTAAAATGCTAATGTGAAATAAAAGCTAAATAAAACCACCACCTCCAAAGTGTGCTCTTAGGCACCTAGACCAAGGCATTTTTTTTTTTACTTTTTTATAAATGGACATTTCTTTACCTATAGTGTTCACACTTTATGCAAACTTAAAAAAAATCATTATTTACATGTTGCAGAGAATCTTATGCGTCATTTACATTGCTTTACACCCTAAATGCACCAGGGAATGGTATCACTGATCCTTCCTCCCAGCAACTATAAGACTTTATAACTATTACAAGTTGTTATATTTATGCTGATTTTGCACATTTTCAATCTTAGTAAAATAACATGCTGCTCTCATTTTGCACATCTCTGATATTGCTGTTATTTTCAAATATCCATTACTGTAAAGATGTCCATAGTTGTATATTGGCTATTTATTCTCCAGGTGCACAGCTTTATATTGTTAAAACACTTTACAGTACAGTATTTTATTGTTTATCTTTTAACTCTTCACTATTATGTCATTCTTATACACTTTTCTAAGATCCACATTTTTGTGACAATTTTTTCTATAATCTTTTTTGCAGCTGTAAACACCAGAATTTCTCCATTGTAGGACAATAAAAGGATTTCCTATTCTATTTGCAATAGCATTAGCTATTAACAGTATTAACAATTGGCATGTGAGGCACAACTAGTTTTAGTAAATATATGCTGCAGACTCGGTTGTTTTTGTACAACAGGTAGACCTTTTTCTTATATTTGAGACTTCTAAATAGCAGAGAATGCAAACGAGTTCTTAACAGCAAACTTAAATCTCATCCCTCGGTCATAACTTCTTCACCAAAGAGTGTTGTATAGTTGACTGTTAGATACTCTGTTAACTGTCAGCAAGGAAAATAATATTTGTAATTATCTGTTTAGGACCTTTTCAAGATGGAAACCTGCTGGTTTTAATCAGCAGCCAATTTCTCTGTGTATTTTTAATTTGATTTATCAATATGGGAACAACATCATTTGAGGTTAAAACACAGTGTCCGTGTGTCTTTTGGGGATTTCAAAATATTCATGTCATAAATTCTTCCTGATATCATTTTGTTCTTTATATTTGTTCCATAATTTATCAAACTTTTGTGTATTTCTTGTCTTATTAGTAGTCCTTCTGAATGATGAGTACATTTTCTGAAGCTTTAGCTAATTGGTTTTAAAGTTTTAAAAGCCAATTAAGAGAAGATAAACACTGTCTGTTTTTATTTGTTTTACTTTGTTATTATTATTATAACTATTTTTTTTTTCGTGGCTTCACCAGTTCCACAATGCAAATAGTTCAACTTTACACTGATGACTCAGGCTGAGGAAATAGTATATTATTACCGGTAAACTTTCAATTTTGTTGGGAAATAAAATTCTGCGATCCGTTAATGACTTAGATTTAGGAAAAATAACAGTTTGTGATAAAGTGCAAAATTAATCAAGACTAAACTGTGGAGTAATTATATGGAGTTGGGGAATAAAAGAAAGAATATTTTAAATTTTTATTTTTAAGGTTTAAAACGTACAATTTTTTCAGTTTTTACATGTATTGTTTCTTCCTGTTATTCCGCTCCTTTTGGATTTATTCTTAGAAACAAATCAGCCAAATTAATTTGTTCCATGAGTTGGCTATTAGAGCCATTATGTTTAAACTAGAATCCCCATCATGCAGGGCTAGAAACACTGTAACAAACTAAATAACCTCCAGACATCCAGTCTTCTCTTTAAACCTGCAAGATTTCTGCACATGAAGTTTTTTTTTATGTGTCTCATCAGTTATAATCAACTAGTTGTTGTGACATCTACTGATCCACTTGCAGCCCACCTCCCCCGTTGGATTGTTTGTATCTATATAAAATAGGAAGGCATTGACTTTAAGTAAAGTGCACTTGATACATAAGCCAGAGCCAAACAGTCTAGTCTATCAACAGACTTCTATTCATGTTGCAAAAGCTGTTAAGCAAGTTGAATATAATTAAGCAATAAAGTGTTTTGTTAAAATAAATTTTCAGATATTATTGCAGGTCTAAATAAAGAATCCTAAAAAATAAATTCAACTAACTAAAAGTTACAAAACACCTGCAGAAAGAAAAGTGAAGAAAAGAGAAATAAAAATATATATATAATATGATAATTTATATTATATTGTCGACATTGTATTCAGTAATACTGGACTAATCCCAAAGGGAAATTCAATTTCTATTGTTTGTCTTTAAAAATATTCATTTTGTAGGTTATTCTGCACGCTACTCAAGCGCTTCAGAGCAGAGCTGATCAAGGGTTGCCTCCAACTGTTGCTGACATGAAATTTTAGCTGTTATGCCATTAGAAATGTTCACTGTTCAAGGAGGAATAATAACAATTTTACTCAGTGTGAAAAGGTTGAGCAGTTCTGCTGACTGGTTGGGAGTTCCCCCATGATTCATTTTAACTGTTGACTAACAGCATCAAGCAGTTACAGCTGAGGTCACAGTGAAGGTTATGTTACCAGAAAAACTTTATTTCTTTATCATTAAATTAAAATGAGAGCCTGTTTAATTTTATTTTTTGCTTTAAATTCATCATTTTATTTATAAGTGAATTTCTGCTCCAGATATGAATGCTTTCATCCTTTCTACCTTCTTGTCTGCACACTCTCTGAATCTTAGTCTGCCTCTGCTGCATCTTTGCAGGGAGAAAAGCGGCCTGCTGCAGTGGACATCTCAAAGAAACCCAAAACACCAAAGAAGAAGAAGCGAAAGGATCCCAACGAGCCAGTGAAGCCGGTGTCAGCCTACGCCTTGTTCTTCAGGGATACCCAGGCCAACATCAAGGCTCAAAACCCCAACGCCACCTTCGGAGAGGTCTCAAAGATTGTGGCCTCCATGTGGGATGGCCTGGGAGAGGAACAGAAACAGGTAGAGCTGTAAACAGCAGGGAAATTTAGAAAATTTTCATTCAGCTGTTTTGACTTTATTCTAAAATATGTTTTTTAATTTGAATTGAAATACTCAGAAGTGACAAAGAAATCAGGAAATCATACAATGAATGAAAGTACTAATTAGTAGTGCTTGTCATTTGTGTATTAGCAAAATGACAAATTAAACTACAATGAAATTTATTGTGGACGATTTCTGTGAATTTTTTTAAAGACCTGCCCTCTCCACTGTAAAAAAAATATGCACATGCACAACCCTGTACCTGCTCCCAAAAGGGAACGTCTATTTGACGTGTACAAGAGTATGCACAAGACCATTCCTTCTCATGCACGCTCTATTTAAAAGATCCTGATCTCCTCATACAAACTTAGTGTCCGAACGTCCGCCCTAACCCCTAAATCCCTCAATCACTATATACAGCGGAGACTATATTGTAGACTTTATAGCAAACTCGGTTAATTGACCGTTCAGACAGATGATCACTGCTTTTTGCTCCCCGTTGTTCAAGTAACTCCTCCTCCACTGTACGGTGTGCGGCGCCATCTTTGTTATTAGTCGCCACTGTTGGGTAGTGACATCCTATGGCAACAACAGGTCGCTGTGACAGCAAATCCCATAATTCTTTGTAAGGAGAGCTCTCCGTGCAAAGCATTCTGGGATATATCTTCTGATGCGTTTCTTTTCTTCTCATACACTTAGTAGACACTTTTTCACTTATGACCCTCTGCCATTTTCAAAAACCGCAGTGAGAAAGGTGAGCTTCAATGACTGTCTGAAACCATAGCTTAACAAATGTATACACCTGAAAGTGCGCATACGCAGAAAAAGATGGCTAACGGGGCAAACACGTACTGTAGGACTGCCTAATGAAACATATCACCAGAAAGATTGACAATTAGGAGGACAACTTATTGAGATGATCCACCTGGAAATAAAAGATCGTCCTCTGTACCATTAAAATGGCGTTATAATAAAATGTAACCTTAGTGTCTGAGAGTTCATCTTTGTTGAGAAGCTCTTTGAGTTTGGAAGGTAAATCAGTGACAGCTTGCATTGACGTTTAACGTGAGATTTGGCATTGAAAAACTCAACACTGAAAATTTAAGCATATAAAATAAAAGCAATGAAAATTCAAACACTGAAATTTAGTTTTTTAGTGTCACATTTGATACAAGCTGTCATTGATTTAGCTCCATAGAAGGCCTTACTGCCACTCTCCAAAGGAAATGATGACAAATGGCTAAAAAGTTCCCTTTTAAATCTGCTCTGCTTGTTTAGTTGCTTCTGTTTAGTTTTGGATTTCTTTTCTTTCAGTGTATTTACAGACTTTTCCTTGGGTTTAATTTTTCTTCCTCCTTTTCTTCCACTGTTTTACTACGTGTTGTGTTAGTTTGCCTTTAACTTTTGGGGTATTGTAACCTATTTATATCCATTTCAGTAAATAGCAACACCCATTTTAATTTGCTCTAACTTCCCAACTATGAGCAGATTTGTTTGTTTTGGTTTATTTTCATTTAAGAAAATGTTTGAATTACATGTTGACTGCAAAAAATTGTCTTGATTCCCTTTGTTGCTATACAAAAAAAAAAAACTTTTACCAGGTTGAATTCGGCTCTGATCATTAATAAACATAATCTAAACGTTAGCATCATTTTAAAAAGAATTCCAAACAATTAAATTATTTTAACAAATTAATAAAGAAAAATGAAGATATAAGAAGTATATAAGTTCTTAGCAGCATCTATTGTGTTGATAGCTGTTTAAAAGCTTTTGCTCTAATCTTTCCAAAGCTACAAGATATTTTCCTTGTATCTGTGCTGCTTCTCTCAATCACCGCAGCTTCGTGTCCCTGTGAGAGAAAACATGTTTATACTGTTCAGTGAAAGCATGAAAGGGAAACAAATGCAGGCTGCTTTAGATGGGAAATGAGCAGCGACACAATGTTTGTGACAGGAAGGACGAGTTTTGCACAAAAACATAAACTATAACAATACCGGTGGGACCGCCAGTCATCACTGCACAGTCAAAGCTCCTCTAAGTGACACATCCGCCAAAGTAAAAGCGTTCAGAATCAAAGAAGAACCGCAGAGGGTGTTTTGGGAATGCATAATTAAACTAATCTGTTATTAAAGTGTCAGTTTAATAGAATAAGCCCTTTGATGCTTAAACAAGATTATTACATTATTATGATGAATTATTCGAGTTGTAATTCTGATTTTTAAAACTGAAGCTCAGTAAAAGCTCTTTAGGATATTGAATATGTCATAAAGAGTGTTCATACCTGTTAACGTCATGAACGGGTTCTCATATCTTTGGTTTGTGTTTCAGGTGTACAAGAAAAGGACAGAAACAGCCAAGAAGGAATATCTGAAGCAACTGGCTGCCTACAGAGCAAGTCTGGTCTCACAGGTACGTCTGCACTCAGTTATTTATTTAGAGAGCAAATTTTGCTACTAGTTCAAATTTATATATATATTAGGGCTGAAACAATTAATCGTCAACTAATTTAGTAATCGATTATTGGTTAACTGGAGACTGTAAAATATGCTTTTAGCTGTCAGAACGACCCACTTAGAGCAGTAATCATACCAAAATTGTAAAAAAATATATGAGCAGTTTGCGTTTAACATAAAACAATGCTTTTGCCCTTCAATATGCTTTATCCAGAACCCTTCAAGTGGAGAAGTTTTAGTTTCACTTGGTTTAGGTTCTTAAAAAATCTTCTTTAAGGAACCTTTAGCTATCCGATTATAAATTGATTAACATAATCAGTTAATCGTTAGTTGCAGCCCTAATATACTATATACTACTAACTATATATATATTTATATTTATATATATATATATATATATATATATATATATATACCGTAAATTCTCTAATATAGGCCCGGGCCTTTATTTCACTCAAGTGCATCGCGGTCCAGGCCTTTATTGGATAGAGGCCAGAATTAGAGACAGGCCTCTATTGTTATTTGAGCAAAACAGACTACCAGTGGAATGAATAAAAATGAGATTTTGTGTCTATTTGAACCTATAAAACACTAGGTTCATTTATTGAAAAAGTACAGTTACCATGTCTCGCTTGGTTTGAAGTAAAAAAAAAAAAAAAAAATCCTCCAATTCTGTTTAATTCTCCTCCTCAGTTTTTCTCCTCCTCTTCATCTCTCCCTTTAATCTCCTCATCACTCGCGCTCCTCATGTTCTGCTGCGTGTCTGTTCTCTTCCTCGTGCAGACGGGCAGCAGTCAGGGCCTGTCGTCCACTTGCGCAGGGCTGTGGTACTTGTATGTTACTTACTACCACAAGTATAATGTTGAGGTATGCCCAGAAAAAACGTTTATAGCCCCGGCCTGTATTAGAGACCGGCCATTATTTACCTCCTCTGACAGCGAGACCGGCCAATGTTAGAGTCCCGGCCGCTAATGGAATACAGGCCAATATTAGAGAATTTACGGTATATATATATATATATATATATATATATATATATATATATATATATATATATATATATATATATATATATATATATATATATATATATATATATATATATATATATAGTTTTGAACAACAGGATCTAAAGATTGGTAAGAAAGCAGGAGATCAAGGTGAAAATTATCTGCAAATGTCTGATTTCTCTGGTGGATTTAAACAATAATTGATGTTGATTGTTGAAGGAGAGTTTGGCGTAAATCTTCCTTTTCTTTCTCCAGAGTTATAATGACCCATCGGAGATGAAAGCCCCTCACTCTGCCTCCAACTCTTCCCCCTCTCCTACCTCAATGTTCACACCCAAACCTTCAGTTTATCCTGGTCACCCAGGTCAGCACTCCTCCCCCGGCTCAATCACCCACCCTCACTCTCTCCCTCCCCACCAGCACCCAGGCATGTACATGCAGTACACCCACCCGTCACACCCCTCCCACTGCTCAAGCCCCGGGCTCGGCCCGCACATACCCCCTGGTCACCACCAGATCCATCCCCAGCTTCAGGCTCTGTCCTCCAGGGGGACAGTGCCACGGGCCAGCGTCCCCCATCAGGGAGCCCTGTCCCTCAGCAATGTGGCAGCGGCGTCCACCCCTCCTCTCCAGGTCAGCCCTCCTCTTCACAGTCAGGCGCATCTGGGAGGGCTGCACAGCCCGCACCACCAGCACCAGCATCTCAGCGGGCATTCTCTGGGAATGACACACTCCCCTGCCATCACACAGGTCAGACATGCTAAATATTTCATTTTAAAGCTTTGTTAAAACAACACAGTTTTTGCAAATCTGAGAAACTGCTGACATTGTTTTATTGCTGATAAGTTTGGGGGAAAGAACTCGCCGCCAGTCATATCTACCGAAACTAAATAGTCAAAAAAAAGTTACATCCATGCTGTAGCTGCTTACTATTTTCTCCACACTTGTTAAACCCAATCACTTCATGAGTTGTTTAACACTAAGCAGAGTTTCTTTTATGACTAAACCGAAAACTGAAAAGTTTTAAAGTGATTATCAGCCATGTGATCACAAATTCACACATGCATAAAAGCAACGTATCAGTGCCCACTATTTCCAACCCCAGCATTTCCCACGATACGCAAAGATTAAAAGACCCAATAATCCTAAGAAACTCTGCTGTGATACATTCAGGCGACCCTCTACTGTACCTCCTTATAAGTCCCGCTCCTTTCCTAGCCAGAATCGGCTGCAGACATATTAAACAATTTTTTAGAAGATAGTTTCCTTTTTTCGAGTTTTTTTTTACGTCTTTCCGAAACCTTAAAGGAATAGTACACCCAAAACATGATTAGCCTTCATTTTCTACTCACCCCCATGCTGAACAACACTCTGGAGTACTTTTTTGATATCTCAAATGCATCTGGAGATCTGGGAGGCTTCTTGCTGTCTGCTGACATTCAAATAATGGAGGTCTATGGTGACCGAGACAGAAAGGTCCATAAAAGTCCACAAAAAACGTGTCAATATTCCTCCATACTGCTCGTCCAATGTATTCCAAGTGTCCTGAGTGGGTAGCATCCAGAATTTACTCGAAACGAAGTCATTTAGAATGTTTTTAGAGCATAAACAGTAGTGTATAGGATTTCCTGAAAGCGCGCACACGCGCGCTCACGACGCTACGGAAGCCGGCAGACCAAACCAGCGCATTCAGCTCGGCAAAGAACTCATGCTCTTCCTCAACACTGAAGTCCTCAGATATTTTTCTTTCGTTGTTTCTTTCTTTGCACCGGTAAACAGCACATTTCTTCTTCTATGCTTGCATTATTGGAAGATCAGACGCTGAATGCGCACTTTCATCTGGTTTGATCTGCTGGCTTCCGTAGCGTCGTGAGCGCGCGTGTGCGCGCTTTCAGGAAATCCTATACACTACTGTTTATGCTCTAAAAACATTCTAAATGACTTCGTTTCGAGTAAATTCTGGATGCTACCCACTCAGGACACTTGGAATACATTGGACGAGCAGTATGGAGGAATTGACACGTTTTTTGTGGACTTTTATGGACCTTTCTGTCTCGGGCACCATAGATCTCCATTATTTGAATGTCAGCAGACAGCAAGAAGCCTCCCAGATCTCCAGATGCATTTGAGATATCAAAAAATTACTCCAGAGTGTTGTTCAGCATAGGGGTGAGTAGAAAATGAAGGCTAATCATGTTTTGGGTGTACTATTCCTTTAATCTAAAACTTAATCAATTTCTACACCGTTGACTGGTATTAAAAACTGATTTTTCCTCCCTTACCCCCCAAAAAAAGATATTCTGCCAAGGATGCTGGATTTAAACACTTCATAGCACAACGTCGGGTTACTGTGACGTTTAAGACAAAAACAGAAAACTGTTTCCATAAAAAGCTGCCATGTGACCATGCATTTGTTGGAGTAATGCAAATCCATTTTAAAAAGAGATGCACCAATATATTAACCAGAGATTGATATATGTTCATTTTCGCTTGATTCGCTCTCCTCTGTTGTAGTCCAGTCAGTACAGATCATTTTCATTTCTTCTCTTTTTACAAAACTTAAGAATTCCTACTTTTAATCAGTGTATAGAGGCACCAAACAAAAACAAGTTATTTGATGCAATTTTTTTTTATTTAGTAAAAATCATTAAAGGTTAGGAATGTGCTTTAAGAAAAATGTCTGGGATAAAACTTGTAATTCCATCGTTTTTCATTGGATGTTGACACAGAATCTCTATCAGAGAACCGTCAAACATTTTGACCTCTTTATTGTGGCATCTGCTTTAAAAAATATATACAGTCAGTCCAAAATGTCATCTAAACATCGGTATTGACTGGAAACGTCTGATCAGTGATTATTAAAAAAAGAAAATTATTCAGTTTCCTCCACTCATGAAACCAAAAATTACTAATTTTAGGCTGCTGCCTCAGTAAATAAAAGGACTGAGAACTGTCTTTATGAAAAAATTGCAATGTTTTCAACCATATGTAAACATGAGTGATATTTTATTTAATGTTAAAGCTGTTGCTCTACATCTGATTAGAATATTCTGGCCTTACTTTAAGGACCTCCTAATTAATCTCTTTCTCCGCTGTTATATTAATGATTGTTATGTTAAAAAGCCAAACACCAGGTTTCCAATGAAAGGAAATGTATCCATCAAACATGGTGGCTTTGCTGTGCAGGCTGTTTCACTGTGTTTGAGGTTGCTCTCTGTAATGTCAGCTGTAAACTGGGTCAGATATTCAATGCAAGGCATGATAAGAAATATAAAAGGGGATTTTTTTGGGGGGCAGAAAAACTGAGCATTTTGGTGCCACAGACAAAAGCAGTATTACTCTGAGTCACTTCCTTTCCATCACGTTTCTCTGTTTCCATTACTTTTGCTTAATGATGATTTTTGTGGTGGGGTTTCCTTTTAAGAGAACCCCTGTGTGCACGGAGGGACACACATACATGTTTAGTCAGCAACCACAATAAGAACTCTGGCAAATTCTCATATGCTGAAAATTGCAGACTTTAGGCTTTAGGTTCATTCATTCCTTCTTGAACTCTTTGGCAAAAGGAGTTTGAATTGAGTTTCAAAAGAAGCTCCTCCCGCTGTGATCCCCTGGTGCTACCTGTCTGAACGTACTTGTTAAAGATTGCTCTTTTTGATTTGAATTATTTGGAAGAAATTAAGATAACAGGAATCAAAGTGATTAAAACATATACTACTTCGAAAGCTCGACTGGATTCTACTTGGAGCCACTCCAAGTATGTTGCAGTCCAAGCTCATAAAAAATAGACTTAAAGTCTTAGGGAAATCATATTTAAATGTCCAATTATTTTGGCTTAAACATGTAACATATAAATGTATATTGTCCCAAAATTTAGAAATTTTCTATTTTTAGAAAAAGATCCTGTCTTAAAATATGTGGGAAGGGGGGTTTCGTTATTTTATGCAGGCCAGTTAGTTATACGTCAGCCTGTACACCTAAATTCGGCCAATCATATATCGACAGTCTGTCAACAAAATTTTTTCGGTCATAGCATCTTGATTCATATGTTGCAGCTTAAATACGCAACGGTTGAAATAAGAAATAAGAATCATTATTTTCTTGAGTTCCGTCCCAGTGTTCACGGGGATGGACGTCTGTGTCTTCAGCAGGCGTAGAGCTAACAGAACTGGCAGCGTTGCGAGGCAAGGGCTCAAACATGTACGGCTGTAAGCCTTCTATACCAAACCAAGCTTCTGCCGCTCTGGCGTCCTCTTCCACATCTTCGTCCCCACTTTTTTCCTCTAAATAAAAATGTATGACGGAGGAGACTCATCCACGACCTCTGACACAAATCTCTCCCCTTGCATGTTTCCGCTGTCCATAGCGTTCCTTGACAGTGTTGTTTCTAAGTCACCAATTTAGTGCTACTTGGTCCCAATGGAATTTGCAATTGGGAACCTACTAGCACTAAGTTGCTAACTGGTTAGCAAGATGCTTCGAAGAAACTGGTCACAATTAAACTTGCGAACCTTCCGCCACAACAATCCCACCCCCTTGATGATCGACCAATCACATTCACTTTATTCACTCGTGTAAAGTCGGGCACCACTCAGGAGAATTCGGAAATGCAACGGTTGGAACGGCCGTTTCCCTATTTTAAGAAATTCCACAAGTCCTACAGCAGTTTTTTCTTTTTTGTACCCTGTTGGTTGGTGTCCAGTCAAGTTAACTGCTTATTCTAGTTTTGTTCTGTCTTCTTCTCCAATGCCTTAGAGCAGTGATTCCCAACCCGAGGTACTCGTACCACTAGTGGTCTGCAAATGCATTGCATGGGGTTCATGAGAATATTCTATTTCTCAGGCAATTACATAAAATAGGGCTGAGATTTGTTTTGCTAAAAATATAAAAGTTTATTTTCAACCAAAAAGCAAGTTTTTCTTGAATGTTTGAGTTCACCTTCAGCTTTGACATTAAAACCAAGCCGTAGAATAGACTGGGTGTAGAGAACAGCCTTGGATCAGCTGTTTTCTCACACCTGATCAAAGCAAGCTCAGGTGTCATGATTGATGAAAACTAAGTAAAACAAATGGAGTCAGTTTGACTATAATTTTTGTTCTGTATTTTGTTCCCAATTCCTCCAGTTTTATAAAGGCTCCAGTTTTATAAAGGCAGATTTATAGTATGATTTTATTTTGTATTTATTTTGATTCCTCACTAGCTTCCAGGAAACATATTTATATTGTTTTTTTATCTGAGTTGGAAAGAACAACATGCCAAATAATTAAATGCTCCAGTAAAAAATATAATATTTCTTTTTATTGTATTATGATTTATTGTACACTCCACTTCAGGACAAACATTTAGGCTATTGACTGAGACAGGTACTAATGGTAAAGAAAATGCTTAAAGGGGTACACTAGTCAAAACGGTTGGGCACCACTGCCTTAGATGACAAAATGGTCTTGAAACTCTGCCATAATGTGGATGCTAGAGCTACTAAAGGTGGTTTGGAGTGAATCAGGACTATAATGCCTCCCATTATGAATGATCTCGCACGCAAGCTTTACAACTCAGCACTAGCCAGAGTGTCAGATGTCTTGTAGGAAGCACATGTCTCCATTCTTGGTCTTCAGAAAAATCACTATGGCCTCACTGGCCTAATGCCAAGACTACAACTTCATAATGCCTACAACGGGCTGGCAGGAATCCATGTAATTCTTGAACGCACAGCTGCTACTTGTCTAGCATCCTGTCTGTACTCTTTTCTAATTTCACGGTAATAAATATGGTGCAATGATCAGATCCCTTGCATACAGAGTTCTATGTGTGCTGGGCTCCTGCTAGGATTAGGGTTCCCAGAGACGGGCACACACCTCCAAATTGCACATTGCGTTGTAGACCTATTAAAAGTGTGTGTTTTTAAGGTAGCACTTTCAATAAAAATTATGTTTATCTGCATTTCAGAAAAAAAGACCTTGCATCAAATCTAGCGAGGGAGGAGACAGGTTGAAGAGAGTAGCGTTTCTAAAATAGTCAGATTGAAAGGCTTTATGAACAGTGTCAGGCTCTAAGGCCTTGGTGAGCTCACACTCTGTGGAAAAATGTAGAATTTAGATTTTATGTGCATAATTCTGTCTGACCTGCTCTCTTTTATGCTGATAAGAAGCTTATATAAGTCCTGTTGATGTTAACCAGATACCTTAATATGCTGGTGCAAGTAGCACTGTGGTAGGATTGCAGAGATAAACATCTCGAAAAACATTAACGTAACATATCCTAAGAGGGCAGTAGCACAGTTATTACCTTTTCTACGGAATTAGGTTTTATAAATACTGTAATCCAGCCGAGTTGTAGGGTCACCGAGTTACTCCAGACTGGGGTAACTTTAGCCTGGGGTGAATGGGAGCCTGAAGAAGCGATGCAGTTTCAGTCAGTCTCACATTATCTGACCTAAGAGACTCTTTTAAAGAGACCTGGTGTCAAAATAATAATAATAACAGTAAAAAAAAAGATCTCCAACACATCTAGACACACATAGATGCATATTGGAGGTGGGGGTTAAATGACACTAAATGGACATTAAAGGAATAGTACACCCAAAACATGATTAGCCTTCATTTTCTACTCACCTCCATGCTGAACAACACTCTGGAGTACTTTTTTGATATCTCAAATGCATCTGGAGATCTGGGAGGCTTCTTGCTGTCTGCTGACATTCAAATAATGGAGGTCCATGGCGCCCGAGACAGAAAGGTCCATAAAAGTCCACAAAAACGTGTCAATATTCCTCCATACTGCTCGTCCAATGTAATCCAAGTGTCCTGAGTGGGTAGCATCCAGAATTTACTCGAAACGAAGTCATTTAGAATGTTTTTAGAGCATAAACAGTAGTGTATAGGATTTCCTAATAGCGCCCCCATGCGCGCTCACGATTCTACGGAAGCCGGCAGACCAAACCGGAAGAAAGTGCGCATTCAGCGTCTGGTCTGCCGATAATGCAAGCGTAGAAGAAGAAATGTGCTGTTTACCTGTGCAAAGAAAGAAACAACGAAAGAAAAATGTCTGAGGACTTCAGTGTTGAGGAAGAGCATGAGTTCTTTGCCGAGCTGAATGCGCTGGTTTGGTCTGCCGGCTTCCGTAGAATCGTGAGCGCGCATGGGGGCGCTATTAGGAAATCCTATACACTACTGTTTATGCTCTAAAAACATTCTAAATGACTTCGTTTCGAGTAAATTCTGGATGCTACCCACTCAGGACACTTGGATTACATTGTACGAGCAGTATGGAGGAATATTGACACGTTTTTGTGGACTTTTATGGACCTTTCTGTCTCGGGCGCCATGGACCTCCATTATTTGAATGTCAGCAGACAGCAAGAAGCCTCCCAGATCTCCAGATGCATTTGAGATATCAAAAAAGTACTCCAGAGTGTTGTTCAGCATGGAGGTGAGTAGAAAATGAAGGCTAATCATGTTTTGGGTGTACTATTCCTTTAACAGAGAGAACTGAAACTTTCTCCAGTTCTGCCAATTTTACTTAGCAGTTTACATACCTATCTTTCTCTCTAATAATCTTCTGTTGTTTCTCAAACAGTAAAAGTAAATATAAGAGAAGAAACAAAGGGGAAAGAGCGAGAAGAGACAGTGACTGAGCTACAAAGTTTTTAATTTTTTCTTACTCTGGGTGAAGAGTGAGAACTGATGGGGGAAGGGAGAGAGGTAGAGACAAAGGAGGCAGATGGGGTCTTTGTGAAGGAGTGAGGGAGAAGTATTTGCTCGACAATAGATGAATAGGTGAGGTAGAGGAGGAGAGGGGTACGAGAGTGGGGGGAGAACTCAACCACCTGCTGTCCTCCCCTTTCTCCTCTTTCACCCACAACGCTCAGATTAACTTCCCTTTCACTCCCTCTCCCTCTCTTCCTTGCACAAACACTCACATCTACACTCAGCCATTGCTCTCCCTCATCTCCCTGTCCTCGGTTCTTCTGTAAAGTATCCTAAGTTAGGGGAAATGTTCACCTCCTACTCCATCTCCTGCTCCACCTCCTACCTTTTCATCTTCTCTTTTACTCCACCCACCTCCCTCTTTGACTTCACATATGTAAAATCACCATGATGGTCCACCCTCAGTAATTAACGCTGATGAACATGTAATTAATTTGACTTGTAACATTTACATGCCTGTTTATCTGAAAGCCTCTTTTCAGAAAAGGAAGGTATTAATAACCGGTGTACAGAACCCATTGGATGCCTCCGAACTAATTCATGTTGTAGAAGATTCTAAACAGATTAGGATTAAAGCCTGCTTAGTGACCTAAAGAATAACAAAAACAATTCAGCATTCAATTATTGTTAAATCAGCTGTTCTGTTAAAGCCTCAGTGCTTTGTTAGAAAACTCTGGAGGAGCTGCAGAGATCAACAGCTCGTTTGATAAAATGCCATCAGCACAGCCATTAGTTGTTCACTTAGCAAATCATTTATAAAAGAGAGCCAAGTAAAACAAAAGTCTGAGTAATCCGCAGCAGTCGTGAACTCTCATAGACTCCCACGGCGGCTTCGTCTGAATACCCCCCATCCACATAACCAGCTTCAAACTGCCATGTTTGCACATGCAAACCAATATACACCTCGCCACTCTTACCACCCATCTGTTAAAACAAACAAGCAGCTTCAGCGTTGCTGTTGTGTTTCAAAATAATCTGTTTCCAAAGCTACAGCAACACAATGCTCCTGTGTTGTTGGTCCATAGATAGATAGATAGATAGATAGATAGATAGATAGATAGATAGATAGATAGATAGATAGATAGATAGATAGATAGATAGATAGATAGATAGATAGATAGATAGATAGATAGATAGATAGATAGATAGATAGATAGATAGATAGATAGATAAATCAAACCTAATCTTTAACCCTTTATAGGGAATTCAGTAAAAGACTAAACATCTAAATTTCAAGCAAAGAGTACGCTGCAAAAAACTGAAATCTAAGTAAGTCAGTTTTTCTTGAAATACTTTCCAAATTGAATAAGAAAATTTACATTTAAAATAAGGAAAAAAATGCAGTCTCCTATTTCAATAGCATAATATCAAATAATCTGATTTTAAGGATAAAATTGCTCCTTCAGCTGGGAGATTTTTTTTATTTACCTACTCAAATTAAGGGTAAATACACTTATTTTAAGACATTTTCACAAATTTAAAGATTATTTTTTAGTGTGTTTTTGGAATCCAGGACAAGATCTTATTACCTTTGTAACGTTCAAAAAAATATGTATATTTTGATGGCATAAATGAATTTCAATTTAATTACAAGAAACACCAACTTGCCCGTATATATTAAGAAAAATAACAAAAGTGCTTTTATAAGAACTTCATGAAAAACACTCTGAGCGTAAAAGAAATGGCACTCCATGTGTTAAGGGTATGCAAGTGATCAAAAATGGTAACTTGCCCTATAAAGGGTTAATGTCCTCCACCCACAAAAACAAAAACTATTTTATTTTATTTCCAGGGCTATCATCCTTCTCTCCAGTCTGACTACCAATCGATGGGTGGAGGTATGCTGAATAGTGGAGCAGTAATGTCTTCATCGATGGATTACCACCAACTGGGTCGTCATACACCGAACCACCACCCCTCCTTGGAGTGGAGCACCGAGTACCATGGCAATGGGTTGATATTAACACCATAGTTATCAATATCTCTTTATCCTTAGAGATGCAGGAGTCTCAGTAGGGGTGTGGGAAATAATCGTTTTGGCGATATATCGTGATATTCGGCTGCCCAATATAATATCGATCTTTCACTTTTTAGTATCGATTTTCAAAAAAAAAAATGGTTACATAAAACATTGATGGGAAAATGGGCTACCTCTGCACCACCACTCTGGCAGAAAGCGCTGTGGAGCCCTTTAACTATGCGTGCAGCACCAAATCTGTATTTGAGGCAGTCACAGTGGAAGAAAACCCCAAACAACATGGATAATAATACCTAATCAATATTTTCTGATGAAAATATACAGTACTTGCTGTTTTATCTCATCATTTGATTTTGATAGCTGGGGAAAATATGGCAATATATAGAGATACTGCAATATCGTGATAATATTGTATCGTGACCCAAGTATCGCGACATATATCGAATGGCAACACTCATGCCAATACTCACCTCTAAGTCTCAGGTGTTTCTGTGAAGCTAACATTAGCCTATTAGGTATAAAATAAATGCCCTTCACTTCTTCTCCTTCAATAAAGTCAGCTAGTCCGCATATTCCAGTTTAAGACTGAAGATGTTTTATCGTTATCTCCCTTTTATCTCCTCTTTCTTTCATCTTTTCTCCTTTTTCCTGTTTTTCCTTTTCTATTTACATTGCAGTGTCCATATAATCTGGAATACTCCCTGCATAATTATAATAAAGTTATTCATATATGGAAATCAAGCGGAACACTATGGCGATAACCGTACTTATTGCCACATTGCCAGACAGGACACTGTCTGGCAATGTGGCAAAAATAAAGATAATATAAAACAACAGTTACTAGAGCACATGATGAAAAGAAAATTATTAATACCTTTTAAGAGCTGCTGATGTTCTCAATGCTGCATTTCATACCTCTGCTAGGTCTAATGTCTCCAAAGACAATAAATCCTTTCTTTTGTTGCTTAAACCAGAAATCCAACTTATAAATACCCTTGTAGCTTTTAAGTGATTTGTTTTAACTGATTAGTTTCTTTGTTTGCTTGCAGAAGTCTTCAGAGAGACAAACCCTTGTATCTGAGCTAATCTCAGGACAAAATGGCACCAAATATGGACCCTTCTACTGCCCCAACGGGAACTCCAGGATAGAGTCTTGACTCAACCCAAATAAAATCTCCTATGACAAATGGACACGCAGTGGACTTGTCATCAAAGTGTGAAGTAAAACTTGAATTCAGCACTTAGAAAAAAAGAAAAAAAAACCTTGCAGCAGAAGAAAATCGAATGAGCTTGTATATATTTCCATTATCTCTTAAAAGTATAACAGTGTTTACAAAGTGACGCAGACATCTGTTATTGGCTGTATCACTCACTGTGTCATTGTTCCCATTTCTGCTGAAAACTAGTATATGAATGGAAAGAGGTGATCCTGTGCTGTGAACCACGCTGACTGGTGTACATACTCCCAACATTTGAATAGTTTCCGTCATTACAGACGTTTTTCATACATAGTTTCTTGTTTTTACTGAGCATGGTGTTTATAATCAGCACCAGAAGGTTGTGTAGATCATGTGTAAATTGCTGTAACATAGTTGGTTAAATGGACCATTTAAAGCCAGCCTCTGTGTTTTCTTTTGGACTCAAAGTCGCTGTGTGTCCCTACAGTCAAAACCAAAAGAGCACATCATTCAAAACATGATATAAACCAAATATTACTTCAGTTGTGTTTCCCTCTATTGACCCTTAAATCAATTATACAAATTAAAGACCCGATTTATGTTGCTTAAATAAAGATAAACAAGAGAGCAACCCCTTAAACTTTTCTTTCCTCTTTTAATAAGGCTCTAAATGTGAATAAATGTTAAAATTAAATAACCTCGATTGTTTTCTTGAAGTAATTTGAAGTTTTTCTGCCCTAAAATGACAAAATGTTAAACATTTTTCTGTAAAAAAAAAAAAAAAAGTACTCCTTTGTATGATTCCAGCTTTGTTTCCTGGCACATGTCTGTTGATAATCCAAGCAGTGTGTGAGAGTGTGTGAGGTGTTAATAAGACCGCAGAATGGCTGACTGGTTTGCATGGTCTCTTTAATCATCTCTATTTCTCTGTGCTCAGAGACTATTTAAGAATCTGTAACTGTTGCCGGGTTGGCTGTGTTATCATGTTTTGTTTTTGTTTTTTTAAATCAAACTGAGGTTTGTTTTTGTGTTTATGATAATGGAAAGAGGCATATCTCTGTTGCTCTGTATCTCTTTGTATTCATGTGTTTTTTTTTTTGGCAGATAAAAGGACTCTGGGCATCAACCATGAAGATTTTCTTATTTTTAGATTCTAATAATGTGTTTGAAAATAAAGTAAGTGCTGCGCTGATGTGCAGTCATAACTTCAAATGTGTTAATGTCGTTTATCGTTGAAGAGTTGGCAGTAGCTTTATCTGACTGCGGCTGGATATTTGTACCTAACCTTACAACAGCTGCGCACATCACAGATCCTTAGCCACGTTTTATTCCTCTTATTAAGGAACTAAAGATAGCAACGATAAAGATAGGATTGACAATATATGTGGACTATTATATAATTATTTTTTCCCCATCGAGAAAACTTTACCTTTAATAGTGTGAACAATTTTTGCAATAATTCATAACGGTTATGAAACATTTGCACTGCACATATGAAAAAGGGTTTTATACTCCACTCCTCATTAAGAAAATAATTGTTTTAAAGTTACTTTAAATCCATAATGTTCCACCATTTTTGCTGAAACTCTATACTTGTAATTATTAGACCATTACAAAAAAATCAATAGCCCATATTATGCAGCTCTTAAGTGTAAACTACAGATCTTTAACGTCAAATATGGTTTACCAGTTCTTAAAATGGGCTTAATGGGAGTAATATACGTTAAAATATGCTATTTCTTTTGGGTTTAATAGGAATCTTGAATCAAATGACTTTAGTGTCGTAAGCTAGCAGGCGTGTAAAGCCATGTTTTCTTAGAACAAAGGGAAAAGAAAAGAAACCTCCCTCAGTCCGGTCATATATTTCATTCTTTCAGGGCCCACGCTGATTATTGATTGACCTAGAGGAGGGGCAAAGGAACAAATCTGAAGCATCCAAAACAGCTTGAGTAAAACTGAAATGACATCAAGTTTGATTATTTTTCTTCAACTTATTTTTCAACAACTTTTCCTGTTTCTTGTATTACAATGTTTAATACTAATAAGAATACCAAGTAATAATAATTTAAAACTTTATTAATCCGACATGGGAGAAATTCACTCTCTGCATTTAACCCATCCCCTTTGGGAGCAGTGGGCTGCCACCATGCGGTGCCTGGGGAGCTGTGTGGGTGTAGAGTCAACTCATTTAAATATTTTAATATTTAGTTAAAAACAAGAGTTAATACACACTAGTATTGAAATTAAATAAATAAATAACTTTCAGTAAATTTATGTTGTTTGTGTACGTTGGTTAAAAAGCTCATTAAAATGTAAGGTGGAACCTGTTTTTTGTTCCCCATGTCACGTTGTTGCCCATGGGAAAGATTGATTAACCTGTTTCTTCACCCGTTTCTTCAAGAAGTTTCACCAGAAAGCTTTAAGACTGGTTTTCTGAGAAAAGCCGAATAAGTTATCTTTATTCCTCTGGAGTTTATGCGGCCAATGAGGTACGACTTTGTTTTACTTGGACGCTTTTTTGTAAACCTTTATATTTGTTTTGAGCTAATTTGGGTTTCTGTTTCCCTTCTTAGTTCTGAAGGCATTTTTTGGGGCTTTATAAGATGTGTCCACAACAAATGGCTATTAAAACCAAAAGAACGACGTTGAGCCTTGATTAAAAACATAAGCAATGAGATGTAGAAACTTGTGTCCTTTCAGCTTAACCTACCCAATTATGTCGCAGCTTAGAGTGATGCAACATGGCGGCGACCTTGCCAAAAAAATTATAAATTTTTCTTTTCCGTTTATATTTTTCATGTGTGTAATATCATTATTGATAATAGTAGACACAATCTTGGAATTCTGTTAGTTTGTATAACTGTTTCCACTTTAAATGTTCTCCTTCTCATAAGCCCAAGTAAAGCAAGATATCCAAATTATTTAGATTTTTATTTTAAGGTTTTGTTCACCTGAAAACTGAAAGAAGGTAATTTTGCTCTTGCAGATAAGCAGTTATAGGAAGTCATGAACTGCAGTTAAAATGACAACATGTGTTCTCTAATACAGTACATAACTGCAAACCTCTGACACACCAATTTATTTATTTTTTTACTGTTAAAGTATAGAGGCATCAATATAAACAAAAAATTAAAATAAGGTTTAAATAAAATAAAAAATAAGGTGTGAACTGTTAGCGAATTTTCCTCTCCAGTGCTGTTGGTGGTCGGTTTGATGTCTTTTCTGGGAGAACCAGCCTCAGCCTCCTCCTAGGCGAGGAACCTCCTTCTTCTGACAGGTACTCCTGCTGCAAGAGAGCAGCTCCTCCATCAGCTGGGGAGGATTCATTTATTTGGGTCAGATTAGAGGCTGAGATTTCCATCACAGACTCTCTTGCTGCCTTTATACTTTCCCCTGACGCTCCAACTCCAGGTCCCTCAGTGTGAGCATCCCCTCTCTCAGACGCCATATTAATCGTAGACATGCTCTCCGCTCTAGTTTCTGGTTCAGGAACCTGAGAGGTATCTCCAGACATCTGGTCATGTCCCTGTTCTGGAAGGCTGTCTTTGGTGGACGCAGCTTTTGATTCAGTGGTCGACTGAAATCTTCCCTTCCCAGAATGAATATCTGGATCCAGTGTTAGATCAAGCTTTAGTGCAGCTACAGGTGCGGAACTGTCCACCTGCATCTGGCTTTGATCCAAAGGAGCTGGATTATTGTCAGGGTTTGCTAAACTCAGAGCTTGATCTTCAGATTTTGAATTTAGAGGTGGAGCAGGGTGAATTCCACCCTCATGCAAACGATCGGCCTGTGTTGTTTTAGCTAGAAGAACATGATTCCCTCCTGCAGGGTTCTTGAGCCTCTCTGTTGCACTGCTTGATGCTATGTTGAGCCCACTGAATGTTATGCCAGCAGCAATAGGATTAGTCAGACCAGCAGGGAGCAGTGGATTGGATCCTGAGGCCATAGTGTTCAGTAAAGCATTCCCTGCTTGAAGAGGAAGGCTGCTGCCGGTTAGCAGTGAGCCAGCTGAGCCCAGCAAGGAGAGGCTTGTAATACGGTCCCTGTCAGCAGTATTGAAGGAGAAGGGATGCTGAGCACCACCCAAAGTAAGTCCAGCTGTCTGATACTGGAGAGGTTGCAGGTTTAGTGCCTGTGCAGAAACGGTGGTGCTATCAGTTGGCTGGGAGCTGTCTGGGTGTCCGTCCTTTTCCTGATCAGCTTCTAAAAGTTGATCCTTTTCTGATGAACTGCTTTTGTGTCCTCCTTCGTTTGTCCCCTCTGCCTTTTGGGAAGATTTTCTCCTTCTCTCTCTGCTGCCTCTTCTTTTTTCCCTAGATTTCTCTTCTCCTTCCTCCTCTTCTTCTTTTCTATGATGCCTTCTTTCTTTGTTCCTTTTGGAGGTTCTGTTCTCAGAGTGGCTCTGCTCATTTTTCTTCCTGGGATGAACTTTGCTTTTTTTTAGAGGGTTTAAGTTCAGTTTGACCTTCATGGAGCGACTGGACTGGACTTTGTGTCTCCTGTCTCTGTTTTTTCCATCGTCTCTGGGATTTGCTGCCACTTCCTCCTCCAGGCTTTCCTTGCCTTGATTGGTTCTCAGACTCCTCAGGTCAAACTTTACACGTCTTGTTTTTCGTTTTAGCTCCGCGTTCTTCATCTTTTCAGATAGCTCTCTCCTGAACCTCCTGCTCACAGAGTCTGTATGGTTGGAGTGAGCCCTCCTGTAAGTCGTATTTTGCTCAGGTGGTCTGTACGTCCTATGGCAGTTCCTGCAGTGTAAAATCTCGTAACCTATAGTCTGTATATCTTCATCAGTCCTGTAGCTGTCCATGTCACTGTCAGCCTTGTAGGGTGGCAGGTTGTCTGGGGTTTCTCTCAGCAAATGACCCCAGCTGAGATGTTGTTGCCGAATAGCTTCTCCATTTCTCTCCTCTTCCACCATCACTCTTGATTTTCTCCTCTCTTGGTCATCTTTTGTCTCAATTCCTCCATTTACCCAAACCCCCTTTCTCATATGGCTTGGCATCTTCCCATTAGTGTTGCGATGGCCTCCGACACTGCCAAAGTTTTCTTCAGCCCTGGACCTAAACTCTTCGCTGTGGTGATCCAACATCATGGACTCTTTGTTCCATAGCTGGCTGCTATTGGCTTGTAATGAAAAATCCCTCCTCCGCTCTCTGCCATCTAGTTGATGAACGTGGTTTGCAACTCTTCTGCCTTCATCCCCTTCCTTCAGCCTTTGACTGTCTTTCTTCTTCATCCTTTTAGATACTTGGTAGCAGATCAAAACTACAAGCAGGGTCAATGCAACTCCTCCTGCCGAGAGACGGGACAGAAATCAATAGCAATTCACATCCAGGATTTCAGGTTAATCCTATATTTGTTAGTGAAGGTGATGATTTAGCTCACTCAAACGTTTTCACAGAGTAGCTAACCATTATTTTTGAAGCAAGGATAACCTTGATAAAAACATCTTTCAAGAAAAATAACACTGATGCATATTTCTGTTTAAACAGTGGTACAACAGAGCATCATAGCACAATAATATCTTCCTATATCCAGGTGTTATCTACTTCCTATATTTTCAATGCTGAGCATTAATTAAGTGTGGCTTCTTATTCCTTATAGAGTTGCTATGGGATTAATTCTTTCTGTAGCTCTTGATAAGATGGACAGAGAGTGCCGTAAAGCTGTCTGTTTAAGCAGCTAATTATAATCTTTTTCTTTTCACCTATTCTAATATAGGATGTCTGGATATGCTGATTCATGTCTATGTCTTGCTGGTGGCTTCTACAGCTGCACCTAT